TATCTTGCATTGTGATCTTGCTCTGTGATTGTTATCTTGCATGCTATAGGTTACATAACCTGTACATGGTGTTCTAGTATATATGCACTCATGATTAATGTGACCTTGGGTGGACATGACACAGTTTTATTAATAGTTATATTCATATTTTGTCCTACGCTTACACTTGAAGGTGATTTCATGCATACAGGGCAAAAATGGTTGCATAGATGTAGTGATAGCATGAGCATACATGGCTTTCTTGTTTATTTACACAGAGTACGATCAAGTACCGTACTACCCTTGTGTAACGAGTTGATTGCACTGTGTGGTGCAATGCCTGCCATTCTTTGATAGATGGATAATATTGTCTGTCTGTCTGTCGCACCTCAACTGCTTCAGCAGCAAACAGTTCAGGCCGTGTTCCAGCTCAAAATGTTCCCAGCGCGTGCAGGCACGTTATGAAAAGCACGTACAACGCGTACAAACAAACTGGTTAACGGCCACCACATAAGGTTGTCTCAATGGGGAGCCGCACCAAGGGAAGTGGGTCAGTGATTATATTATGATAATAGTGTTTGTGGGCCTGACTGGTGTCAATCAAAGGTCATTTTATTTTTAAGAACACTGTAGCAGTGTAGCGTGTGATATTGTGTAGACATGGAATCCTGCAGTAGTGCCTGTGTAATCTCTGTTTAGTCTCCCTTGGGAGGGGACTATGGCCTCGTTTATGTAACACAACAACTAGAGTATAGATTAGCACATGCGTTTGAGCATCTATACAGAGCACCCAGTTTCGCTGAGAGGGTCTATGTCCCCCAGGGTACTGTCGGAGGGTACTCTGGGTACAGTTCGATATATCGGAACGTATCCTGGTACTATCTAATATGCCGGACCGTACCTCGCCTACTCCACTAACGAGTAGTCTGTAGGGAGTCGCCTCCGCCTACTCCCTAACCCTAACCCTAACCCTAACCACATCAGATAGTTACCAGGGTACGTTCCGATATATCGAACCGTACCCAGGGTACCCTTCGATAGTACCCTGGGGGACATAGACCCTATGAGCCCCAGTTTCTAGCAGGACAACCCATGATCAGGAACACACCCTCAGACGCAGTACACAGGCTTTTAAGTTTAACACGTATTGTCCGATATGCCTTCAAAGCTGAAGCTAATTTGCAACACCTTAAATCCTCTGACTTGCCTCAATTGCCTCATCGAAATGCATTAATTTCCAGCTGTATTTTACATTTTACAGTCCCAACGCAGTCATGCTATGTTTTCATAGCTTGATGTGTAAGTCTCAGATCTGATCGAGTTTATCAATGTACTGGAGCCGCTTTTGACACACGTAATTGACTCCAAGTGGTGCAACCTCCTTTCAGGCTTTCCCCCATCCATCCATAAACGTTGTGCCTTCTAAAATACCTAGGGGAACCAGCAAAGAGTATGAGAAGCTAATTGAACAATTCGATGTAGAGATGAATGCATTTTTATCGGTCTACTCTAGCCTGCAGCTGAACCCTGCATGCACGTTCCCACTGCATAACTATGTGTAATCTACTGCATACTCATTGTGATCAGTGCCCAGAGACGGCTGTAGCTGGCAGGTGCTGCCATCGTGTGGCCGTGTATTTACGTGTGTGTGTGTGTGTTGCAGATCACCTGCACTGCAGACACAGTCCAGCATGACTGCAGGCTTCATTGCGAAAATGCAACACTCGGTAAGTGCCGTTTAATTACACGTCCGCTACGCAATAAACGCGCCGGTTGTCGCAGTCAGAAGGCTGTGAAGCAAAAGGGGTAATTTCGCAAGTATTGTTTAGTGGGCAGGTGGCAGCACTGTCCAGTTTTGGAAATTGACGGAAAACTGGAGGCGTTCCTCGGCTCACGGGCCAATCGCAGGCGAAGAGCTGACGGGGAGATGGCAGCATGGTTTGGTTCACCTGTTCACTTGTTTCAGGGCAGAAACGTGGTCGTGTTCTATGGGTCGCAGACGGGAACAGCCGAGGAATTTGCTGGTAGAATATCGAAGGACTGCATACGTTATGGATGGAAGGGCATGGCAGCCGACCTAGAGGAATGTGATATGGTAGGCAGCTCTCATATATATATATATAAGCTATATATAGGCTGCTCAATATTAGCGAAAATCCAAAGGTATAACGATCATATAAGTGCAGCATCCGACAAGAGAGTTATTGCCTTCTCTGTATTGTTCTTCGTGTTGTCACGACTGTAAACCCGCGTGACTATATCTAACAAACGAAAAATAACTCGTCAGAATTCTCCACTCTGTGTGTATATGAGAAAACCACATTCCCCTTAGATAATGTTGAGAGGTCGATCAAACCAGATCAATCAGTTTATACTTGTTTTTAATGCAGCACATTTTGACTCTGTGGTCCTGCATTGCCAAGCTGCGTTTTTAGCATGCTTACTTCGGGATGCTGATTGGCCAGAGCTACCTGTAAATTGCTCCGGGCGGATAAGGTAAATTAACTGCCGAACGCCGCCGCCGGGAAAAACCGCGTGTTAGTCGGAACGTACGGTAGACGAACGAACGGTCATTGCGTGTTCCAGGAGGACCTTCCGAAGCTCGCCGAGATCGACAACTCGCTCGCGGTGTTCTGTCTCGCGACGTACGGAGAGGGCGACCCGACCGACAACGCGCAGGAGTTCTACGATTGGATGCAGGAGGGCGGCGGCGACCTATCGGGCGTCAAATACGTGGTGAGTCTCGCGCGCGCGATTGGCTCTCGTGACCGCGCGAATGGCGTGCCTGCCGCGTCAGCGTGTGCCCTGCTCGGCTCGAATTCCACCGTCGCATTGATGGCAATTGCCAAGGTTGTTCTTCTTACTTGCTGTTGTGCATCTGCAAAATTGGATCGTATCCAGGGCAATAAACCGCTGTGGCTGTATTATCTAGTTTATGTCTGTGCCCCTCTAATAAGTTCATGTGGCGACGTAGTAGTGTATCATCGCTCCTCCCCCAGAATAACTAGGGTTGTTGAAAAGTAGATCATCTTGATAACCCTTCCGTGAACAAACTGCTGAATGATACATGTTGTAAAATCTCCGATCCAACCCAAAGGCAACGCTTCCCTTGGCGTTTAAAATAGTAGGCATTCCACTTCTTCAAAGTCTTTCTCTCCCCTCTCCCCCCTCTCTCACCCGCGCGCGAACTGTAGTCGTGGGTAGAGGGCGCTGACCTGTGTCTCGGCTGCACGCTCAGGTGTTTTCGCTCGGCAACAAGACGTACGAACACTACAACGCGATGGGTAAGTACACGGACCAGCGGCTGGAGGATCTCGGAGGCGAGCGCGTCTGCGAGCTGGGGATGGGCGACGACGACGGCAACATTGAGGAGGACTTTGTCACGTGGCGCGAGCAATTCTGGACGTCCATCTGTGAGCAGTACGGAGTCCAACCACTAGGTGGGGCTAGCGGTCAATCGATTAATCTTCTTTGTCACGTGGCACGAGCAGTACGGCGTGCAGCCACTAGGTGGGGACAGCGTTCGCTCGATTAATCCGTTTATAAGCCCAGCATTCTGACTTTTGTTTATCGATGTGGCATATTTTATTCTTGGTGTGTTTCTTTAGTTAACTTCGCCTGACATGGTCTGTGGGCAGTTCCAATTCAATGCTTGTCAACAAATTGTCACAAAGTCGACAATTTGGCATGTATGCAAAAAAAAAACACATATAAACTGGTCTAGCTTGATCAACCTAACATCATTGCAGTGGAATTATATCGCCCAGATGGATAAGTCAACTGAGGAAGCATTAAATTCACAAATGTGCTGCCATTCCAACGGTGCAACATGTGTTCTTGTGTCGTGGTCCCCAGTTCTTCTTAGTCTGATGAGATCAAAGCTGTTCTCAAAACCGCAAACCTGTGAAACCGTGCAAACTTCGCGAATCATTATAAACATAGATTAAATCGGGAGCAAAAACGTAGATGAAAGCATCCTCGACTAATCTTCGAGCGAATAAAGCCGTTGTGACTCTAACCTCCCACGCGTTTGCGTCAGAGAGGCGTCTAATCTCGCGGCAGCTTTGGCCACTAAATCGGTTTACGCTGGTGTGAGAGTGCCGTCGCGTTATTCGTGGTTTTCATCGTCGATCGATCGCTCGCAGGCGATGAGGTGAGCATCAGACAGTACAACCTGACGACACACGAACCGGAAGACATTCCCGAAGAGAAGGTCTTTACAGGAGAGATCGCGCGCATCCGATCCTACAAGAACCAGCGGCCGTAAGTGACATCGCAGACGCTCTCAAAACTAACCTACTGTATGAGCTCGAAGTATGATTAGTATTCCGTAATGGAGTGGCGAGATTTTAACATGCTTGTGCAAGAAGAGTCGCCTAATGTACTAGTAGCGTTCGTGTTGTTTGCATACGAGTTGGTTGTGTCGTACAAACAATGAGAAAGTTTAGATCTCATAATACAAGGTCCACATTTTAGGGTATAGTAATGTGTCAGTGAACGTGCCTGTCTTGCTTACAGACCCTACGATACGAAGAACCCATTCCTTGCTCCAGTGAAAGTCAACAGGGAGCTTCATCAGGGAGGTGATCGGTCCTGCATGCACATCGAACTGGATATCACTGGTTCTAAAATCAGGTACTCAATTTCTGTCCACCCAACAGTAAATTCGTGGACACTGTACACCAGACTCCACTGATGCAATTTTTGTATCACAATCCATTCATGAACACTGACTCTATCTTGCATCCATACCCCCAAATTTATCTGTCTATTCATCTATTCCCTACTATACCCACACATTCAACACCTTCTGTCTACTCACTATTTCCCCTATGGGTAGAGCCCCCGCTCTATTCTCACTGTTGTTTTATGGTCTCTTCCACCATTCTTTCATCTATTACCTGCACTAGTACAATAATTTTTTGTACATTTTTGAAAAAAGTTTGTAAACTAATTAGCTAAAATATTCATAAAAACGGAGAAAAATATGGGGGAAAAACATATTAACGCTTATTAACCATATTTCTGGGGTATATTGGAAGGGTAATTGTACCCTATCTGTTATTGCTGGCCACAAACTGGACTCTGTTTACATGCAGGTACGAGGCTGGGGACCACGTTGCTGTCTATCCCGTCAACGATGCAGCCATGGTGCAGAAGATCGGTGACCTGCTAGAAGTCGATCTAGACCAACTGTTCACACTCGACAACGTTGATGGTGCGTACCAATATAGCTATAATACATATGTAAATATGTACATAGATATATATAGAGAGAGAGTGTGAGAGAGAACTAGGGATAGATCAGTAGAAAGGCATATATGCGTAGATACACATGCACACATAACCACGTGTTTGTGTATATATATATATGGAGCTAGGAATATTTATAGAGATGAATAGAGAAATGCGTGCATGCGTATTTATACGTGACTTATCTGGAGATTATAATGCAAACATGAAAGTAATAGAGGCGAAAATAGAGAAGTATTAACTTTGTGGTTAAGCCGCGTATGCCGTGTATGTGTGTTACGGCGACGCACGCACGCACACACACGCATATTATACACACATATATATACATAAATATATATGTATATGTATACATATGTATATGTATATACATACATACATACAATATATGCGTAAGTGCGTCGATAATCAGATGATGGTTGTTGCTGTTGTGCGGCAGACGATTCGAGTAAGAAGCATCCGTTCCCGTGTCCGACGACGTATCGCACGGCGCTTAGTTACTACGTCGACTTCACGCACCCGCCGCACACGCACGTGCTGAAAGAACTCGAGGAGTATGCGAGCGACAGCGCCGACGCCGCGTTCCTACACAAGATATCGTCAAACACCCCCGAGGGCAAGGTAGACTGCTGCCTCGTCCACGACGCATCGTAGTTACATATAGTTTTATATAGTTACATATAGTACATGTAGTTAGAAGCGTCCACGTCGTGGCCTTGGTAATTTTTTATTCCTGATAACTGATTGCTGATTCTGCAACCACCAATCCATTCAGCTCCAAGGAAGTAGACTACTGCCCCATCCAGGATGCATCGTAACAGAAGTAGATAATTGGGAAGGAGTGTGATTTCAATAAACAAGGGAAATTCGTCATTTACTAGCCTTAGAATACCTACGATTTACTACGCGTAACTCAACCAACTTGAGCTCAAATCGTACACAGTACATTTGCCTAGCATCATGTGAAATTGTTTCCTCGTATACACCCACAATCCGGAGATACAGACTAAAACGTACGACACGATTCTCTATTCTGTTGGCCGCGGATCGACTCCATAACCCACCTAACTTGAAACAATAGGCAGCTACTAATGACTCTTGCGCACTCTTGCGCCCTCAGCGATGCGGTGTGGCTCGCTGGGAGATTGGAGCTGGAGCTGCTGCTGATTGCAGTGGGCGTACATGCGTGGGGGGCATACCAGCTGTAAATAGGTCAAAGATTAACTCGCCGAGTGTTGCGTCGATGTCCAATCACCCAGTGAGCCACACCGCATCGCCGAGGGCGCAAGAGTAGTATTATCCGTACGTGTGCGATGCGTCGCATATCTGTCGCATGCGCCCAAACGTAACTGTGGAAATCGTAATTCGTGTAAAAAGTATGCATTCCCTTTGTAAATATATGCTCACGATTAGCTAGGGATAGATATTTAGATGATTTTTACATTATTATTAATCACTATTTGTTTATTATTATTAACATTTACATAGTTTACATAGTATGATAGGAAATTATTTGTGATTGAACCATACCTACAGAGCCTCTACAGAGAGTGGGTGGTTGAGGGCTGTAGAACCATGCTGGCTATACTAGAGGACCTGCCGTCTGTGAAGCCACGTGTTGACCATCTGCTCGAGCTTCTCCCTCGGCTGCAGGCCCGCTACTACTCGATATCCTCCTCCCCCAAGGTAAGTGCCACACACCTCTCCTTCTCTACCTCTCCTCCCCCACCTCTCCTCCCCCAAGGTAGGTGCCACACACCTCTCCTTCTCCACCTCTCCTCCCCACCTCTCCTCCCCCAAGGTAGGTGCCACACACCTCCCCCCACGCCTCCCGCCAAGGTAGGTGCGCACACACGCTCTCCTGCCCGCCAGCCTGCTCCTCCCCAAGGTAGGTGCCACAAAGCTCTCCTCCCCACGCTCTCCTCCGCCCAAGGTAGGTGCCACGACCCTCTCCTCCCCACATCTCCTCCCCGCAAGGTAGGTGCCACACCTCTCCTCCCACGTCTCCGTCCCCGAAGTAGGTGCCACACCTCTCCTCCCACGTCTCCTCCCCCAAGGTAGGTGCCACACCTCTCCTCCACATCTCCTCCCCAAGGTAGGTGGCCAGCACCTCTCTCCCACCTCCCTTCCCCCATTCTCTTCCCACACCCTCTCCATTTACAGTCTCCCTACCAGTGTTCTCTCTCCGTTGATTCACGGCTTCTGCCTCTCGTTCGTTCTCCAGGCCATCCGAAACAGCATTCACATCACCGCCGTTCTCACGGACTATGCGACGGGCCGACGGACGACAGAACCACGGTGTCGCCCACCTACCCGTGGCTGTAAGCTGAAACAGGCCCGCTGGAGAGACACTGCCGTGCGTTCCGCATCTTCGTGCGCAAGTCCAGTTCCGCCTGCCCTTCAAGACGTCGACGGCCTGTGTTGATGATCGCGTCGCGGGAACGGGTTGGCACCTGTTCCGTGGGTTCATACAGGAGCGACACGCACATATAAGAGCGAAAGGTACGAGATAAAAAAACAAAAAACCAACGTGTATCTAGTTGTACAGTTTTTGCATGCCGGCTCTCTGAGGTTGCAATTCTACTTGCGAATTGAGATTGGCAATTTCAGAACAGCGACCGGAGTATTTTGGCGTGGCTGCAGAGTACAACAAACCGTCGCTCATCGCACCACATGTCTTTGCAGCATAAATCTGCCGTCGTTACGCTGCTTTAGACGCACGTTCTGGTCAAACACAGGTCGAGATCCTGGTGATCGGCGTAACATCTCACTCTCTCTCTCTCTCTCTCTCTTTCTCGCTCCTTCACTTCGCTTCATCGCTTCTCGCTCGCCTCTCGTCACTCACTCTCTCACTCTCTCTCTTTCTCTCTTTCTCTCTCTCTCTTGCTCCCTCACTTGACTCTCTCTCTCTCTCTCCTGCTCCCTCAGTTGCTCTCTCTATCTCGCTCCTCACTCGCTCCCTCACTTGCTCTCTGTTCTCTCTTTCTCACGCTCTTTCTCTCGCACTCTCTCTTTCTCTTTCTCTCTCTCTCTCTCGTGTCTCTCTCTCTCTCTCTCGGTATATATATATATACATATACTTCTTGGGCTCTCTCTCTCTCTCTCTCTTTCTGCTCTCTCTCTCTCTCTCTCTCTCTCTCCTCTCTCTCTCTCTTCTCTGCTCTGCTCTCTTCTCTCTCTGCTCTCTCTCGTCTCTCTCTCTCTCTCGTCGTCTCTCTCTCCTTCGCTCTCTCTCTCCTTTTCTCTCTCTCTCTCTTCTCTCTTCTCCTCTCTCCTCGGTCTCTCTCTCTTCTCTCTCTCTTCTCTTTCTCTCTCTTTCTCTCTCTCTTTCTCTCTTTCTCTCTCTCCTCTCTCTATCTCTCTCTCTCTCTCTCTTCTCTCTCCTCTCTCCGTCCTCTTTCTCTTCTCTCTCTCTTCGTCCTCTCCTCTCTCCTCTCTCATCTCTCATCTCGTCTCTCTCTCGTCTCCTCATCTCTCTCTCTCTCTCTCTCTCTCTTCCTTCTCGCTCTCATCTCTCTTGTCCTCTGTCTCTCTCTCTCTCTCTCTCCCTTCTGTAATCTCTCTCTCTTGCTATATATATAATATACTATATATATATATATTATGTATACATATACGGCTTTTGACTCGCTCTATCTATTCTCCGCAGGCAAGGCAGGTCGGCGACGCACGGTGCTGTACTTTGGCCCGCTGTCAGTAACGTGACGTTCGACTACATCTACGGCGAGCGAGGCCTCGCCGAGTAGCAGCAGACTCAGCGACGCTCACGCAGCTTCACGTCGCGCGTTCTCGCGGATCCAGCCGGCAAAGGTAGGTGGCCCACGTGTTGAGCGTAGATGAGCGCGGCGTCCGTCACGTCGGCCGAGCATTGTGCGCTGTAGCATGATGTCCGCGTCCCGTGTAGAAAAGGTAGGATAGTATAGAATAGTACATATATAATATGGAATGATAATATATAATATGGCAATATTAATTGGGCAGTAGTAAGCTAGCTGTCCGGTTACCGCGACGCCGCAGCTCCAGCTACGCGTCCGGCACATTCCATTTCACCGCGTTACAATTTAGTAACCCACCCATTCTTGGCATGGATAACTTGTTGGTTGTTGTCGCATTTCGTTACAGACTTTCCACTGTTTACTTAAAACTAACCTTACAACAAATAATCGTACGCGTGTGTAGGGTGCTATGGCAGCGCCGCGGATTTAAGGCCCGGTTTGGCACCAGTTTCCAGAAACCGGTCACAGGCGCCTGCAAAATTCACGCAGAATGCACGGGCAAATCATAGCCAATTTTTTTTAATTTTTCGGGGGGCATGCCCCTTGAACCCCCCTACCTGCAGAAGAGCATATGAAAACTGGTTCTACAAACCCTCTGATCGCCTCTAGGTATGCCATGACACAAAAGTTTCGAGCATAGAAGCTTCCAATACCTACGTCAGCGATGTAGGCCATGCCCCCTTTCAAAATCGAAATTGCATCTGTTATTAATGACGTAATTTACTTGAACTACGTTATTAGCTTAATTACACTCGGTAAGTAATAATATAGTAAAAACTTCTTGTTTTTGTTTTTTGCTGAAAAAATTGATAATTGGGTTACGATAGAAATAGATGACCGGTATGCGTAGCGCTGGAGAGCTGGGGTAGGATGCGTACTCAGGCGCCCCACCTGCTGATTACTGCATGGCGACCCAGTCAAGTTAACGTAAGCCAGTAGAGGTGGACTGAAGTACCAGTCTGGAGCTTAGGCGTCCGGTAAGCCAGACGCGCGTAGCCACGGCCTATATAAGTTATATTATTAATATAGAAACTATATATAGTATACATGTATTACATGCCACTTGTGTGTGTGTGCTGTTGTGTTGTGTGGTGTGTTGCTGTGGTCGTCTGCGTGCGTGCTGGTGCGTGCGTGCGTGCGTGCGTGCGTGTGTGCACACTATGTGACCTGTTCAGTTGGGTTATGCACTGGCTTTGCAGCACATGCAACACTCGATCACATAGCTGTGACGTAGAACATTTACAATTTTATAGCTCACATAAACTTTTCTCACACTGAAGTCGATAAGTACAGGTAAACAAACTTTTAGGTTGCTTATTTGAATACTTATTCACGATACTGTATATATGAAAATACTATACATGATATTGGTGACATTCTTGTGCAATTTTGACTCGGCCAATAAAGCATATTGAAGGTATATGCAGAAGGTTATAAATGTCCTGTTAGGCAATCTATTCTCCATTAGGTGTGAACTGTTGGTGATCACTCACTGTTTTGTAAGAAGATGCTTGGTAATCAAAGAACATGGTTTTCCGTATAACAAATATTATTCAATATCTATTATAGGTATATGTAACACATCTGCTGGAGCAACAGGCCGAATCTGTTTGGAAATTACTAGACGAACAAAAGGGTCATATATACATCTGTGGGTATGTATGATTAGATATTGTATGGTGCTATATTCTCTTTATTATGTAAGTTAATATTCTATTAAAATGTGCTTGGTTTTTTTTCAATTCTTTGATTTGTTTAAAGTACTATTGACTGCTTTGTCATTATAAGCATGAAATAAAAATGTTGTCATAGAATGTATTCAGCGACTTAATAATACATTGTGACAGTCAGATACATTGTGCATAAATCTTTTATAATTTTGTTATTGCTTGGCCAATAATATACTTTATGAATATGATAACGAATTCTTTCCAATGGATCTGACAATTAACTTATAAATGCCTCCCCCTGCTAAACTCGTTTCAGTGACGCGAGAAACATGGCACGTGACGTCAACAACATTCTGACGAAGATATGTCAGGAATATGGAGGCCTGACGACAGAGCAGGCCGCCGAATACATCAAGAAATTAGAAACGAAAGGACGCTACGGCAAGGACGTGTGGAGCTAACCTAACGGACAGCTAGACAATTGACAGCGACGTTAATTCTGATGTGGAAATTATGCTATTTTATTCTCCAAAGTGCTGTTCGCGCAGAATAACGAATAATCTATTATAAGGATCCTTTAAATCATGCAGAACGTTGCGCTTGGAGGTGTCGGTGCGGCTAAATCGGAAGCTGGTGAAACCGATGTGGCCCCGGATTTATTCCCTGTACGCTGCTGACATTGTTTTCAGCAGTCAGACTTGCGGTGATCAAAGCAACAGTCTGGCTAGTGGTTATAATCATTAGATTAACATGAATGTTGTTAAGGACAGCAGAACATGTGCAGTGTTTTAATAACAGAACCCCCCTGCCGTTCAAGAACCATGTAGAAGAGTGAACCGAGGGTTAGAGCAAAAGCTAACGTAATGCGAAATGTAAATGTTAATCAGCTGCCATGCAGCGTGACACTGCCCTGGTGTCAGGTAACACATCGTGGTGTTATGTAATCATTCCTGTAAGTGTGTGAAATAAACGGCAGGGTCCATTATCTAACCTGTGGGCACTCGATCGTGAATACTTTGTTAATAAGCGACCGCTGCTTGCATCGGCTTTGGTTCCTATTGTTGTGCCTGCATACGTATCTGATGGGTGCCGGAGAGAAATGTGCGATCGTGATTTTATTTTACACGGTATTGGTGGCGGAATTCTAGTAAATTTTAGGTTTGTGTCTAGTCTTGACAATGAATCGTTGTTATTTTAATGGTGTTTGACGTGTGAGTTTAATTAAATCTGCGTTTTGGTTGTTATGTCATCTGCTGGTAGGTTCAACAAGTGTAATCAGTAGGAAAAGTAACTGTGCTGTATATGTATGATATATGTTGTGATATGAATTGGGGACGAGAACAGTCAGAGACAGTCAAATAAATTATTGCCTCTCTGTCCACACGATCTTCTGCAAAATCAGGTGACCTTCAGAAAATATGCAAGAAAGTTGCTCTGATATAAATCTGCCTGGCGAGAGCCGTTAAACAGTATTGAAAAGTGATATTAATGGTTAAGATAGTAGACTTGATCCACAAAGAGTTATTTATAGCCGTCACTTGACACTACCCTTCACCAATGGGAAAGCACCACTTTTTCATGTTTCCCATAGGGGGCTGCAAATATAACTAATGTTGTCAGTAGGATATATTGTCAGTTATCTTGTGTTGCAAGAATGATTAACAGTCTTTGTTTTCGTTGCATTCGGCTGCCAGTTTGCTGTTCTTCAGGCTTTTTTCACATAATCTTACTCTTTTAGTCTTGCACTTCCGAGGTGGAAACTATGGCATGCGTGCAAACCATAGTGAAACAGCTATGAGTTTTGTGCAGATTAGTAGCACAGTTGGCTTCGCGGGGGTGGGGGGGGGCAATATTCCTGTAAATCGGTGTGTTTGTGTAATTCCCGCTAGACTTTGGGAGAGCGTATGGGTCGGTTCTCTAGCATTGCATGTAAGAGTACCAGTGTAGGAGTTACAATACGTTTAGTGGTGCTGATTAACGGTTCAATGAATGCTTGGTAGGAATACGTAGCATTGTCTGCTATGATTGTTATCAGAAATTTCAGTGAAATGATTATATTTTTGATAAATTTAATAATGCCAGCATTTCATAATAATCCCATGGCCTTTATCATGCATAGTTGGCACATTTAATGCTTTCACATATAGATAAATGACATGAAATATATTACCGTGTACAAGTTCTATAATTATTTAAAGGAAAATTATAGGAATGGAAGACGTATAATAAACACGTGAACTGTATACGCTAGCTGTTAAGTGTATTTTCTTTCGGTTCGTGCGATGGTGAAGGTATAGAGGCAACAGGTTCGAATCCTACTAAGGGAAAATTGTTTTAACTTTTTATTTTTTTAAATTTAATATCGTAATTATTAATGTTATTAATCATCCTGATATTATTCTATTACTTAGATAGCTCAAAATTACATTAGGAACATTACGAATTACAATATTAAATTAAAAAAATTAAAATGTAATATATCCCCAGCGAGATTTGAACCTGTCATCTCGGTCCTTGCCAAAAATCGTATAGTGCCGGAGGCACAAGATAAACCACTCGCCAATCACAGCGTAGTAGGTCATGGGTCGCTACAACTGTACAGTTATGATATTGTTTATTTAGTTATATTAACGGAGAGAAAGAACTCTGACAGTTATCGTTATACTGTATTGACATTAGTTCCCTTTCATTTGTTTCAGCGTGTCGCTTAAATTTTCTAGTGAAATAAAACTCCATTCAGGAAACGAGTTCTTCTTTATGTAAGCGACACCTTCCTGCCTTCGCTATGGTGATAGTTGCCTGCCCCATCCTGGGATGTGAATACCAGACGGAAGATACCACTGAGGGTATCGCCATCGCCACATTGAATATTCATGCGCTATCGCACCAACCCACGAAGACCGTCCGTCCGTGCGCCGGTGGGAAGCATTTCGTCGTGGATCGGAGATCGATGACACTTCGGCACCCCGGCAGCTACTCCAGTGCGCGAGTGACGCCCTATCCGACGTCATCCTCAAATCAGACCCTTTCATCATGGACAAGTCCATCGAGGAGGTTCTAGCGGTAATGCGCGCGTTTACCGTCATCCCCGTTGCCACGGGCGTTCTTCGTGCCGAGCTGGTACAGATGCGACAGGGCGCAGACGAGCTCTTCCGCGCATTCGCGGCGCGCGTTCGTGGCAAAGCGGAAACATGTGGCTTTAGAAGTAAATGTACGTGTGACTGCGGATCGACCATCGAGGACGACTACACAGACGAGATGATTCGTGACGTCCTCCTCGCCGGCATGACTGACATAGACATACGCCGTGAGGCGCTAGCCGCTGAGGATATTCAAAAGAAGGCTGTGAACGACGTCATTGCCCTCGTCGAGAGCAAGGAAATGGCACGAAATGCGTTTTCATCGTCGTCGTCTCTCTCGGCTGTGTCCACATTCAGACGCGCAAATGCGCCGCCTAAAGTCGACCCGCTACCTGTTGCCGCCAAAGCGCCAGGAATCCGGCACCTGCTGGCTGACAGACAGCAGCATGCGCCGTGCCCTGATTGCGGCAAGTTATTCTACCTGTTCACTGAGAATGCCTTCGGCTGAAACTCAAAACCCTACAAGCAGTGTATTGATTGCTTCCGTGCAAGCCGTCGGAGGGGGCACGGTAGAGGGCGTGCCACTGCACCCGCAGCTGAGGCAAATGCGCTGGCAGCAACACCCTCGTCCTTGGTCGCTCAAGTCTCGGCAGGCACTGCACCTGGCAGCGGATCCCCGTCACCGCGACGACGTCGCTGCCGCCACCGCAGGAAAGCCGAGGTTGTTCTCCTGGAACATCATATATTCCGTGCTGGTGAATGGCGTCGTGCCCGCCTAGCAGATCACCCACGCGTCGAGGTCACCATCTCCATGGTGAAGCATGGGTGCGGTGATCCCTCGTCCCACCGCAAAAGTGTTTCAAGAGCCATCACAGACACCGGGGCGCAGTCAAACTTGTGGTCACTCCACTCGTACCTGGATGCCGGCTTCTCCCAAAGCGATCTCTTGCCAGTGAAGCTTGGGCTCAGCGTTGCTAACTCCTCGCCCATCGCCATTGACGGAGCGTTTTTCGCCTGCCTACAGGGCCGAGCACCAGATGGCACCGATATCACCGCTCGCTCCATGGTGTACGTCAGCCAAGATGTAACTGATCTCTATCTATCCTACGAGACCATGCTGGACCTAGAAATCATTAACAGGAGCTTTCCGTCGGTTGGTGGCGCTCGGTCGGGCTCAGGAGATGCGCAATCTGCGGCAATGTCTCCCTCTATCAGCCAAACCCGTGCCCTCAACGCTGGCTGCAGTGCACAACACGATGAGAGCATCACATGCAGTTGCCCTCAGCGCAGTGCGGTACCTCAACGCCCGGCAACCTTACCGTTCCCCTGCAAACGAGAGGACAACGAGAAGATGAAGCAATGGCTTCTCGACCGCTATGCTGCATCAACTTTCAACACATGTCCTCATCGACCACTCCCGTGCATGGCCGGCCCACCAGTGGAGATTCACCAAGAAATCGACGCACAACCGCGCACGTGTCACACGGCCGCTCCGGTGCCGTTGCACTGGCAGCAAAGAGTGTACGAGGACCTGATAAGGGATGAGGCCTTGGGCGTGATTGAGAAGGTCCCGTATGGTGAACCAGTCATCTGGTGCCATCGCATGGTGATCACGCGCAAGCATGACGAAACCCCACGGCGCACTGTGGACCTCTCCCCCCTCAAAAAGCACTGTAAACGGAAGACCTTCGCGTCAGAATCGCCTTTCCACCTCGCTCGGCGTGTCCCACGGCAGACCTGGAAGACCGTCACTGACACCTGGAACGGCTACCACTCTGTGCCTCTTCGCGAGTCGGACCGTCGCCTGACAGCCTTTATCACGCCGTTTGGACGGTGGCGCTATACTCGGGCACCCCAGGGTTTCTTGTCGTCCGGTGATGGCTACAACCGTCGATTCGTTGCCATCCTCTCCGACTTTGAGCGGAAGGAACGTTGTGTCGATGACACAATCCACTATGACGCCGACCTCGAGACGCATTGGTGGAGGACCATAGACCTCCTCGCAACACTCGGTGCCGCTGGTGTCATCTTGAACCCAGACAAGTTCCAGTTTGCCGGGCGGGAGGCTGACTTTGCTGGCTTTCACATTTCGGATGACTCAATTGAACCGCTACCCAAATACCTGGACGCCATTCGCCACTTCCCGACGCCGACCTCGACAACTGACATCCGCAGCTGGTTCGGCCTTGTCAACCAGGTTGCCAACTACGCACAGCTTCGAGAGGCCATGGCGCCATTCAAACCCTTCCTGAGCCCGAAACAGAAATTCTGCTGGACGCCTGAGTTGGATGCGGCCTTCACCGCCTCAAAGGGAGCAATCGTACAGGCGATACGAAGTGGCGATGAGATTTTCGACACTGGGAAGCGCACTTGCCTCCGCCCTGACTGGTCCACTCGAGGGATCGGATATTTCCTGCTCCAGCAACACTGCATGTGCACATCAGGGCTGCCGGACTGCTGCATAGACGGATGGCGAATTACGCTGGCAGGATCGCGCTTCCTGTCCTCTTGTGAGCAACGGTACGCACCCATTGAGGGCGAGGCACTGGCTGTTGCCTGGGGTCTTGAGCAGACCTGCTACTTCACCCAGGGGTGTGACGACCTGGTCGTGGTGACCACAAACCCTTGGTAAAAATCCTGGGAGACCGAACCCTCGACGAGATCTCGAACACACGTCTGTTCCGAGTAAAGCAGAGAACCCTGCCTTGGCACTTCCGTATCGCCCACCTACTTGGCAAGACGAACTTCGCGGCCGACGCGACATCTCGTCATCCATCCCCATCCAGCGAGATGGCAGGTATCAGTGTGGGAGACATGGTTGAGCCAGCAATCTCAGCGGCAATCCGACGTGAAACTGAGGAACTGTCCTCTATCTCTTGGCAGCACATTGCCATGGAGTCCGAGAAAGACGATTCTATATCTGCCCTTCGCCGTGCAATTGAGAATGGATTCCAGGAGAGTGACCGCCTCCTCCCACACGTTGCGCCCTATTGGCAATATCGTGACGGCCTTTACGTCCTAGACAACGTCGTTGTGTATGAGGATCGTGTTGTGGTGCCGCCGTCACTCCGCCGTTCCGTGCTGGAGAACTTGCATGCAGCTCACCAGGGCGTGTCGTCCATGGAACTTTGCGCACGAGCCATGATCTTCTGGCCCGGCATCACTGCCGATATTCACAAAATCCGTGCGGAATGCTATGAGTGCAACAAGAATGCTCCGTCCCAAGCACCTCTTCCGTCCATGCCGTCAACACCACCATCCACACCGTTTGAAGCTGTGTTGGTTGTCAACTGACATCGATGTTGGTTGTCGGACACGATTGTCCTCCGATGAAAAAGTACGAGTACTAGTGTCACCGACTGTACTCACTGTTGATAGTCTGTTACCGCTCGCAGCACGCTGCCACCATGTAACACGCCAGTATAAACATAACTCAGAGTGAAAGATAACACACATAGTTTATTCGTACACTTCTTGTTCCGCCATCTTCCAACTACCACGATCACACCACGTGACCCTTCACACATACAGGGCGGGAACACATAGAACAAGACTACGCGGTGTGATACAGATTGTTAAGGTGAGTGACCACTGTCCGGTGCAAAGCAAAACTATACCTAATTAACATCCAGTTATGACATATCACTTTCAAACCCTCACCCAATGTCAGTCTAACGTCTGTCTAACTTTCATATCCAACCATAATCTAACGTAATTCTAACGTTGTGACAACGTCGGAATCTAACGTAATTCTAACGTTGTGCTCTGACGTTGTGTCAACGTCGGAATCTAACGTAATTCTAACGTTGTGTTCTGACGTTGTGTCAACGTCGGAATATGACGTCTATCTAACTTTCATATCCAACCATAATCTGACGTAAATCCAACGTTGTGCTCTGACGTTGTGTCAACGTCGGAATATGACGTCTATCTAACTTTCATATCCAACCATCATCTGACGTAAATCTAACGTTAGGATCCAACGTATATACAACGTAAATCTAACGTCATGTGCCCACTGGGTTGGTAAATGTTGATATAGTAAATTTATTCTTCTGCTCAATCGTTATCGAGATATTAAGCCGAATACACTTTATGTATGCAGCTCACCCTTAGGCGCAGTATATACTGGCTTAGATAATAGATAAATTGGCTTAGTCGTCAATACGGTACGCTCCGATACATTTCCATAGTTTCTTAGATCGAGCACTAGATAGCGGTAGTGTAAATCAGCGCCGCTGTCACGGTCTGAGATTACCCCCAGTCTGAAATTACCCCTAGCACTTCTCTAATACGCCCGCACTGCGCTGTCTTTCCGCCACGCTCGCACCACGATTGTTTTGAACATGTTCAAAGTTTGGCCACGCTCTCCACGCTCATGGTGACTGCACCGCGCTCGATCGCGATCGCAGTACGTCCATATACGCTCATACTGCATTCTACTCGTTTCCACCACGCTCTTAGAGCGTAGTACGAGCGTAGTGAGATCGGGGCCTTGGTGTGAATGGGGTATTACCCAGGTCCCTTTGGGTAGAGACCAAAGCCGTATAATCGCTCAAAACGAGCAAAACTTAAAGACTTAAGGTCAAGACGCACTGCAGCGACAGCGACCGACCGTAACGACAAAAGTCGCGGCGACTAGCTGGCGCAAACACACTGCAGCGACAGCGACCGACGATAGGTCAAAGTTCACCCAGCAATCGCCACAGTGGCACACATCATCACATGAACAAACGGCAAAAACTCCTGCTGCTGCTTTTAAATAACAGGTTGCAAAAACTCTCTAGGTATAAGGATAAGACAATATTAATAAAGTAAAATATACGCAGCAAATTATCATACGTACGTAAGCCGCTACTCACTGTGGCTGAAGGGGTCGTTGTCGTATCAGGTACTACACTCTACAGTACATAATTTATATGTACCCGAGGTACATATATGTATACACAAAGTGTAGCTCATAGGGCTATGTCCCCCAGGGTACTGCCGGAACGTACCCTGGGTACAGTCCGGTATACCGGAACGTACCCTGGTAACTACTAACTATCTGATATGGTTAGGGTTAGGGAGTAGGCGTAGGCGACTTCCTGGACTCGTTAGTGGAGTAGGCGAGTTAAAGTCCGGCATATTAGATAGTACGCGATCTCACGTTGTTTTATATGCTCTCGTACCTGGGTGCGTTGCACTCAGCAAGAGTTAAGATGCCAACGACCTGCGGAGGGAAAAAATCAGGTGTTATATGTGTACGATATTGGGACTTATAGTCTGATGTCTAGCTACTACAGATGGTTCTCAGTATTTACTTGTCGTGCTGATTATTCTGGTTCTAACTGTGCGCAACACGTCTCTCTCCCTCCCTCCTTCCCTCCTTCTCTCTCTTCCTCCTTCCCTCCCGCCTTCCTTCCCTTCATCTCTCTCTTCCTGCTCCTTCCCTCTCTCCCTCCCTTCCTCTCTTCCTCCTCCCTCCCTCTCTCTCTCCCTCTCTTCTTCCTTCTCTCCTTACCTCCTTCCCGCCCTCTCTCCTTCCCTCTCTCCCTCCCTTCCTCTCTTCCTCCTCCCTCCCTCTCTCTCTC